GTGGGTACCGGAGCCTGGCTATGATTGTGCCACCGCACTCCAGCCTGGATGACAGAGTGAGACCCCCATCTCTAAAAAAATAAAATATAAATAAATAAAAGTTCAGTGTGAATGGTTTCCATTGCTTTCTAACAGCCATTCTGCCCTAGCCTGATCACTGCCTGGGAGGATGACAATCTCCTCTGGGATGGAGGGAGGGGATATTGAACAGGCCGACCCCTGCTGACATTCTCTGCAGAACAAGGACAGCTAACTTGTGAGAGAGCTCTGGAACTGTCCTTATTATTCCCCATAAAATGCAGGGTGGGGGCAGGGGGAGGGCCAATATACACTTATTCCAGGAAAAACAAAGACAGAAGTACAACCTTGTTACAGTAAGGCAGGACATGGTGGGGATGGATGGATGGAAAGAAGAAAAGCTGAAATGGAAGAGATGCCGGGCCTCATGGTAGAGAGGAGTGACTGAGAACCCAGGGAGCTGAAGTCAGACTTGGCTCTCCACTGCCCTGGAGCACGATCCAGGCAAGGCAGCTCCCCTCAAGTGTCTCACCACACTGTATGGTGAGGGAAACGCAGTAAGGAACCTCAAAGTACCACTTCCCATTGATATTCTACCATTCCCTGGGCACACAAAGGCCCAAGGTCTGCACAAAGAATGGGCTGCGTGGAAAGCTGGCACCAGCTGGAAAAGTGGGCCCCGGGGCTGAACTGACAGAATAAATATAATTTCTCTTCAATATGACTGTCTCCTAAGTGCAACAGGTTTAACGTGAGATGGAAAGCCAGCCATCTTTCAGAAATTCCCCCTAAAATCCCATTAAGGAGATAGCTGACTGCATTTAAAATGAGGTTCCATCTACAGAATAAGAAGCAAGGTTTTCCTGCAGAGGAAGACCTTGGATTACATACCTGAGCCTCCTTTGTCTGGGTTTTGTGACTTTTAAAGCTTCCTTCATGATCATCCTCAACTGTGGAGCTGGCATTTAAGGCCGCGATTCGAATCTAGAAACAGGGGTTTGGAGGAAGAGACAAGTTACTATCAGCTGAGATGTCACTTCTCTCTTCAACCATGTGCAGATGAATACAGTTCTGCTCCAGCACATGATCTGTTCTACCTGGAAACACTATGGCCCTATCGGAATGTTGCGAGTCAACAACAAATGATCACTGAGGGGGAAAAATGGATTAGGACATGTTGTGGGAGGGGCCATGCCAATCTGTGCAGGGAGCATTTCCCAGATACTGCCCAAAGCAAAAGGAACAGAGGCCGGGGACACTTCAGCAACAGCTCAACACGATAGAAGACCCACCACGTATTGGAGTAACAAGAGTTCAACGAAACATGCTAACTTTGTGCCTTTCCAGCAACTGTGACAAGGCCCTGTAAGCCACTTCAACTGCAGGTCAAGCATTCACACCCTCAAAAGTGCCAACAGACCTCCTGGGAAGAAAGCTGCTCCATAATGAGAGCCTTCAGAGTCTACCAGGGAAATGCCCCTCACCCCTAGGAGTAAAGTAACCAAAGAACGCCAGCACGATAGGCGGGCATCCATCCTTACCATATTCAGAGGGGTTCGGCACTGCCGTGCAGCATCACTCCTACCACAGGCAATGGCTGCACCAGTCCACAAACCTAGAGAGGAAACAGGAAAGATTGAGACAGGGCCCACGAAGAGCCAGGAGTGTCACAGTGCCAGGGGCCCCCTGGGGACCAGTCCCTCCCTGGGCTCTGTGCACACAGGCTGGTTAATAGCTGCCTTGGGACAGTGGTGTGGTCTATCACACAGGGAGCCCCTTGGTCCCTCACCAGAGCATCTACCATTGTGGGCAAGGCACCAGGTGCCAGGCACACAAAAGAGTGAGAACAACTCCTGCCCCCAGGGTTCACTGCTCAGCAGAGTTAACAGGCCTATAAACAGTTATTTTTTTTTTTTTACAAAAGCCGAATAATATAAAGAGAAACACAGGCAATATCTAAGGGCAGAGAACAATTCATTCAAAGGGATTACGGAAGGCGAAGGAGCAAGCCCTTGCATCAAGCCTTGAGAAATGGAAACGCACTGCAGCAGAAGCCAGCAGTGAAACAAAGAGGCAGGGAGAGTGCGGTGTGGCGGGGAAACTAGG